TGTGTAAGATAATAACGTGTGTGTACTCTTGTGTGAATAAGCATGAGACTACGGAACTCCGCATGAAATTGATGTGAAATGTCCCTTCGCGAGTTTTTCTCTTTTTTTTTCTACACGCGCTTTCCTCCGACAGTGCATGTCGTTGTATTCTGCGTAAGTTTTCCGTTACTCCGGGACGGAAGATCGGCGTCATTAGTGCGGGCATCGACGAGCGTACTCTCGTGCTAAATCGTAAACGGCGATTCGGTAAGAAAACGATCTTGCTTCTCTCTTTCCACTCTTTCTCTCTCTCTCTCTCTCTCTCTTTCTCTCTTTCTCTCTTTTTATGTAACTGCGATCCACATTTTTGCGCACCCCGATCATCGGCATGAGCACAACAATCTTCATCGATATGTTTTGCGATACTTTGATTTTAATCAAAAACTTTACAAGCAGCGATCACAGACGTAGGAGGCTAAGCGGCAGGCTCTCTCGGTGGCAAAGTCCTTGATCGAAAACTGAAATGATTCTGTTTCAACATTTCTCTTTCAACTATATCTCGTAGTAGTTTTTGAGCTGACTAATTAAAAATAAAGAAGAAAATACAAATAAATAACGAAATTTGTCTCTTCGAGTAATGCTTTAAATGAAGCTTTCTCAGCAAGATCCTGACTCTAAGTACGCTTAGCGAAACGGTGTCAAAGCTTCAAAAGCTGCGAGAAAATATAAGATTGAATTAAAATCTAATAGAGAAAAGAATCTTTTCAGTTTTTAACAAAGGATGCGCCGTCCTCGACGACCAAATGCCCCTACACGCACTTATCTTCGTTTGCGCTATCACAATTCAGCCGCCCTAGTGTCACAAAAACACGACAGCTTTCCTGCATTTCAATGTAACAAGAATCACGTCACTTCGGAGCATCCATTTTCGTTACGCGAAAGTAGCATTTCATCGCGAACCTTCGCCGCGAATAGACCACACGTCCGGGACTGTTATTGGTTCTGTCTGATTTGATTTACCCGTAACTACTTTTCTCGGGCTTCGATCCGGTTGATCCAGAGTCAGTTCGATCAACTTACCGAAGCAACACCGTCGATGCCCGAACAATGCGCCGAGCGTACGCAACTTTTTCGTCGAGATCGGACATCGATCACGGACGACAAGCGAATATCGTGCGAAATATAACGTCAATATCGAGTAATATCGAGTAATATCGCGCCAGCGGGTGACAGCGCGATATTTTGCAACGACAGAATATTATAATGTAAAATGAATAGTATGAGACGACAACGATAATAAAATATCTCAATTGCAAAAAAAGATTTTTATGAAATATATAGCTGTTATTTTAGAATGTTATTCTTGATGATTCTTCAACTCATTTTTGCAGTGGAAAATCTCGCGCTGTTCTATTTCGCAGTACGGACATTTAAAGAACATGGTGAGAGGTGTACTTTTTGGATATCGATGCAGTTTCGCGATTTACCCTGATTCAGCGGGTCCACAGCACGTTCGCGCTGGCGTCTTTGTGATAAATAGAAGGGCGACGTACTGCGTTTTCTTTTCCAACGCGCGCGGTGGCCTCTTATCTCGGATTTTTGATTTTTGGTTTCTCTGTTTTTTTTTTAAGTTGACTAATACCGGACAGCAATCGATGCCAAATGTAAAAGAGCCCCAAACGAGTACTGACTTGTAACACGCACAACGCACGCACAAAACGTATAACCGACCGCAGGTAATTATCTAACGGAATTAATCATATTACGTATTATCTCTTATACGATTGTCTGCCTTTTTGTTTCGTTCACTTATTACGATTCACGACTCATCATTGCGCTCTCTAACTCTCTCTCTCTCTCTCTCTCTCTCTCTCTCTCTCTCTCTTTCTCTCTGCTCTCTTTCTCTGTTTCTCTCTCTGTTTTCTCTTTCTCTCTCTCTGTTTCTCTCTCTCTCTCTCTCTCTCTCTCTCTCTCTCTCTCTCTCTCTCTCT